GTGTCCGCTGAAAACTAAAAAATAAATATTAAAATTCATTCTCTCTCTCTCTCTCTCTCTCTCTCTCTCTTTAAAAAAAATTAAAAAAAAAATAAAGATGTTATCTTTAAAACTTAAAAAAAAAAAAAAAGACCCAGTTTCAGATTAGGAGCTGGCTAGTGAGAAAAGAATTCTTGACTTCAGTGTCTTAGCACTGAAAGATGGCCAGGTCCATAAATAGATGGAATGGATGGATGAAACAATGGATATAGGTAATATAGCACAGAACTACTCCAAAATACTAATGCAATACTCTACCACTTGTAAACCTTGGGAAATTAAATCTTTCTGGGCCTCTGTTTCCTCATTTGTAAAATAAAAATAATAATGTAATAAATAGTATTGAGGGCTCTTTCAATTGCAAAAGTTTAGGCAAAAAGTTAAGCTTGTCATGTCACATAACCAGAACTGTTAAAGATATTAAATCTCCAGCTCTGGTTGGATCCAGGAGTTCAAATGTTATCTCCATATATTACCTTACCTATTCTATGTCATAGATGGATCCTTTTCTAATAGCAAGAAATGTAGCTCTTGTCTAAATTTTTATAATGATTTAGATAAAGCAAAGGCCCTCTGTCTTTTACTTTCCAAATTTAAAGTCTTATGAAAATCTCTGCTTAACTGTATACTTAAAATACATAATTAGTTCTTCAGTCTATCACAGTGTCCAGGGAACGGGGTACTCAGACCAGAGCACTGTGGTTGGTAGCCCTACCAAGTCCACATGAAATGGGAAAGGAGTTCCTTAAAGGAATACAAGGAGTAGAAAAGTGGTCTGGGATTGGGGATGTAGCTCCGTAGTAGATTCTCTAAGTGGACCTAGACTGACCTAGTTCTCCCTATTTTCTCAATTGTAATTCTCAAGGGTAACTGTAGAATGTGCTGGGAATGCAATGTCTTGAGATAAGAGGGAGTTGAAACAGTCTGGGCTGTGTTCTGGTGTCCTTCAGAAACAGGATGCCCTTCAGCACTATAGGCTAGCTATAAACTACAAGGTGGGTATAAACTCCAGGGTCAGCTGATTTTCAGGTCTCTCAGCTGCAGCAAAAGTGGAGAACATGGGCTGGGGATATAGTTCAGTTGGTAGAGAGCTTGCCTTGCATGCATAAGGCCCTGGGTTCAATCCCCAGCAACACAAAAAAAAAAAAAAAAAAAAAAAAAAGAAGAAGAAAAAAGGAAAAGTGGAGAATATGCAGCTCTCCTGAGCCTTAGAGGCCTGGCTCACAACAAACCTAGTTTTCGTGTAACTTGTCACGTATGAGTGTGTTGTCTCACAGGACTGAGATACGTTGGTTAACAACTGATCCACCTGCTTCACAGGTCTCCCTGATCTCTACTTTCCTCTCCTCAGAAATCCCTTTCAGCAGGGTGGAGGCTTAGCTCAGTGGCATAGCACTTGCTTAGTATGTGTGAGACCCTGGGTTCAATTCTCCCCACTAAAGGAAAAAAAAAATCTCTTATCAATTCCCAAGGTAGGGAGAGGTGATAGAAAGGGTTGTTTGCAGTCAAATTTCCCTCTAGATATTCCTCTCATGGAGCATAGAAAAATGGGTCAATAGGAAAGAGGGACACTGCTGGCTAAGCCAGGAAGGAGGAATCCTAGAGGTAGAGAAGAGAGCTAGATTTGCTTCCAAAGAGCCTTCCTTTAACTTTGTTTCTCCAAGGGTGGAGTGGATCTCAGATGATGAATGTGTAGCCACTGTGATAGGCTTACGCAGAGCTGGAGAATCTGAGTGGGGGTCTTCTCCAGCCTTACCCTGCTCCTATGATTGTGGGAGATGGGCTATGTCCTATCTTTCCCACTTCTACTACCTCCTATATTTTAGGACTAAATCTCTACTCCTGAACCAAACCCTGACTTCCAGCCTTGAAACATAGTTCAATACCTCCAAGAGGGCAACTGCACAAAACTTCTAAGGACAACAATGAAACCTCACACACACGGTGTCCAAACTGCTGATTGATGAGATTGTTAGACCTGAAAGTAGAGTGAGAAATGGGTGCAGGGAGGCTACTAAGAAGAGTTATAAAAAGGAAAAAAGGCTGAGCACAGTGCAAATGCCTGTAATCCCAGCTACTCAGAAGGCTGAGATAGGAGGATCACAAATTCAAGGCCAGTCCCTGCAACTTAGTCTCAAAATTAAAAATAAGAAAGGGCTGGTATGTAGCTCAGCATGCAAGGCATTGGATTCAATTCGTAATATCTGAAAAAAAAGAAAATCTTCTGCAAAGAAACCGTAGGGGAGCATATCCAGCAAGGTGTTTCACTATTAACTCATGTTGCATTTGATTCTGACATTAACCATCCATGAGAGCCCACAGGTTTAGGGGGAAGGTCTCTTAACAAGACTGTGGGCATGGTGGCGCACACCTGTAATCCCAGCAACTCAGGAGGCTGAGGTAGGAGGATCTTGGGAGGCTGAGGCAGGTGGATCACAAGTTGGAGGCCAGCCTCAGCAAATTAGGGAGACCCTAAGCAACTTAGTGAGAACTTGTCTCAAAATAAAACTTAAAAAGGACTGAGGATGTACCTCAATGGTAAAGCACTCCTGGGTTCAATCCCCAGTATCAAAAAAAAAAAAAAAAAAAAAGTAAACTCACTCAGAAAATTCAAGAAAGTGCTATTTACAATTGTTTATAAAGAGTGTAAGTCAGTAATGTCCAAATGAAGAGACACATAGAATAAAGTCTGGGAAAATGCCAAATTCAGGGCTTTCGTGCTTTCACTGGGGACATAAGATATGTATTGCCCTCCTGACACATCCCTATGTTTGTCAACCAAGAAGTTCTGTGAGCTTTGATGTCCAATTTTTATTGAGATACCATTACATAGCCTTGGTTGAATTTTTGGCCACATACCAAAGTCAATCTCCAGCCTCTCTCTCCTTTCCAAAGTCTGGCTGACTTAAAAGTGCCAACCCTCTAACCACGATTGGTCTTTATGGTGACAAGCTCCCATCCTGAGTCATCTCATCTTTCAGCATAAAGTTACCTAAGGGGCTCACGAATACCAAAGACACTCAATTACATATTCTCCTAAACTTCCACTGGGATTATGACCCTAAAAACCTATCATAAGTTGAAAATATCCTAAGTCTAAGCATCATAGTTTATCAATACAGTACACTGAGAGCATCAGTTATGTATCTTCATGATCATATGACTGGGAGCTGGGACTCACTGACACTGCCCAGCATCTCAAGGAGTATTGTATCACATATCACTGGGATAGGAAAAAAATCAATCTTCAAAATTTGAAATATTGAATGCATGCAGCTTTTGCACCATTATAAAGTCAAAAATTCCTAAGTCAAATCATCATGAATCAGGGACCATTTGTACTTGAGAAATTCCAGAGTTTTAATCTCCTCAAAAAACAGTGATAAATGCCAGTCTTTGCCCCTCACAAAAAAGCTTTCTAGGAAGCTGGGTCCCAGGGCTCCATTCTCTCTGATCTCTGACTCCAGGTTCACCATAATGAGGGTCCATTAGCTTTGGGCACCCCAGATCAGCCTGGGGTGTGCCACATTATCCAGAAACTGAAGAAGTAGTCCTTTGCCAAGACAAAACCCTCAACCCTGCTTCCAACTTCCAAGGCCCTATTGAAGATTCTACCCAACCCAGGACTTTGCCTCTCCTTCCTTCCCAAGAGCAAGCCCCATGTTAAACAATGACAACACCAGAGGAAGCCCTTGCCTAAGTGAAGGGAATCTCCTTGGCCTGGAGAACCAAGGACCAGAAGAAAAGACCAGGCTGCTCTGCACCAGACCTGACTCAACCAGAGCAGAAGTACCAATGTATGAACAAGAGTATGAGTTTGGCAAGATCACAGCCTCTTCATGTCCAAACTGCAGTGCTTCCAATAAAGCCACCTGGCATTCACTGTTGAACCTATCTGTGTTTGTATGTAGTGCAGGCTCGGGAAGATGGATATGAGAGAGAATAAAGGTGTCAAATGGGTGAAAAGGTAGTGTATCCATTCCTTCCATTTCAGCTGAGGAAACTTTCTTCTTGCTCATTTTGGGTCATTCTCTCCTATACAACCAGTCCAGCCATAAGACTCTTTTTTTGCTCCTCCAAGACAAACTGTAGGTGAGTAGTGGGCCTTGGCTGGCATGTCAGAGATCTGAGGCAGCTATTTCCAAACTGCTACAATGGGTTAATGCCCTTCTTGACTCTGGTGCAGCATCCTCTATCTTCCCTAGCCAGCCTGTTCCATTTACTGTAATGATCTAATTGTCTTCTTTTGACTGTTCCAGCTCTACCCCAGATGATGGTTCTTCGAAGGTGCAGACTGCCTGTATTCTTTCACACTATATCTCCATGTTCAGCACAGTGCCTGCATGAAGTAGACACTCAGTACATAGCTGTTGATTGAATGTCTATAAAAATAAAAAGAAAAGCACAGGAAGATCAGTCTCAGCTCAAGAGAGGAAGGGGTACATCTATCTGGCCATTAAGTGACTTGGCCAAGACCACTCAGATATGTTTCCACAGCCTAGCCTGCTCTAGACTGGGTTCTATAGGGAACCCATTCCTGCTCAGGCTAGGATCACCCAAGGAAGGGGCACAGGGTAGGCAAGAAAGGCAACTGGAATGGCAGAAGTCAGGGAGGGGTAGTGGGGACTGGAAAAACTATTGGAAAGATTCCCAAAGCTGTTTCATTACTGCCAGATGCTAAAGCCTCAGCCTCCCGGACTGTAACTCCAAAATCTGACGACATCCCTGTAAGAGGATTCTATGCCCCGCATTTAAAAAAAAAAAAAATCCTCAATTCCTCCTTTTAATGACAGATCCTAACTCCACCTCAGAATGTAACATATTGATTCCGCCTTCTCTGAGAGAAATTCTGGCTCCGCCCCTTCCGGGTGATAGGCAAGCCCCACCCCTAGTGTGGAAAAGCGTCCCTGTGACGTAATGGTAACGGTCCGTTTCCGGGGTGGAGCTAGGGAGGGCGGGAGTTTAGGCTGCGCCGACCCCTCGGCCCCCCTCCAGGTGACCCTAGCCCTTGGAAACCCTCACCCAAGGTCCCCAAATCTCCCAGCCCCATAATCGCCAAATCCCTTGCCTTGACCCTCTACATGTCCCAGACCCCCGAGTTAATTGTCCTCTTAAAGCCTTAACTTATGGTGTCTCCCAAATCTTTAATCCCACCCTGTCCCGATGTGGCAATTGTCTTCCGGGGCACCTACTTCAGATTACCTGCGATTTAATCAGACTCATCCCAAGAATGACGGAGAAGGGGACCTGGGGCTAGGGAATATTTGATCCAATCATGCCTCTCCCCAGGAGACGTTCGGAACCCAGGACATGTCGGGATTGAGGAGATACGAGGTGGCGCTGGAGGCGGAGGAGGAGTGAGTGGAGGCGGGGTTCTGCGGAGGAGGAATCAGGCGGCTCCGGGTGGGGGAGGGTGCGCGTTCTCGGGGGAGGGGGGCGGGGCCGCAAGGGGCGTAGGCCACAAGTGGAACCGCCTTTGTGGGGGCGGAGCCTCCCTCGAGATCGAGGCGTCCGGGGGCGGAGTCTGAGGGGTCAGCCCCGCCCCGCCCGGCCCGGTTCTGCCTTCTTTCTACAGGATCTACTGGGGCTGTTTCTACTTTTTCCCCTGGCTGCGAATGTGGCGCAGGGAGCGGAGGTGAGGGGCTGCGATCCCGAGGGTCCGCCAGGGGCATGGACGAGACTCAGTCTCGGAGGACGGATGGGGGAGTGGGAATCTGGGCGCCGCCGCCGCACCTCATGCCAGTATCGGGTTGCCCTACAGCTCTGCGCACCCCCGAGAGCAGAAGCTGGAGCCTCTGCGGGGCCTGATGAGCTGTCTGTCGAGCGGCCTGGGCCCTGCTCCCCATCGCTCAGGTCGTGGCCTCCTCTGCCGCACCCCTGCCACTGCTGCCCAGACAGCCGGTGCATTAAAAATTTAAAGCGAAGCCCACCATACTGCCTTCCTGACTCTGCCGCCGCTGCCACCATTCGATGCCATCATTCGGACTGGGAGCCCCTCTCCACACCTATTTACCTACCGACAGGATCTTCCTCCCTGGTGGGGTGCTTTTCCATATCAACCCCGCCCCCATGCCTAAGGGGCCCCTATCAAGTCAAGCTTCCTGTTACTATCAAAAGTGACTGCTTTCCTGTGCCCCCACCAACAAAACAGAAAAAAAAAAAAAAAAAAAAAAAACCTCCACTGTCAGTAGTCTTATATGGAGAGAAGTAAATAATCCTGGCCTGATCTCCCTGTCCACCTTATCCCCGTGTTGATATGTTCCCACAGCCCCATCTCTTGGTCACCACCTTCCCCCTAGCCAGAATTTTGCTGGGTATCTGAAGAATCTTCCCTTCCTGGGAATGAATCTAAAACACTTTAAGCCAGGGTTGTAGGAAGTAGGCTGACAGAGGAGGGGTAGATTCCTAACAAGCTGTCTCTTCACAAAAGCTGCCTCTTCATGTAACCTGCCTCAGGAGACTGATGTGGGTTGGAGGCCTTTCCTACAGTTAGTACCCCAACCTGGCTTCTCCAGGCTAATCCCCATTTTAGATATTCTTAGCATTAACCCACTTAGCTGTTATTGATACTTCCCTAGTAAAGTCCAAGGGCCACTGCTCCCTGCCATCCCATTTTATTGTGTTGCTCAAATCAACCTGGGCTCCACTAACTCCCAACGTGGTGAGACTACTCCCAAAGCAGAGGACTTCTTTGTTAGCCTGCTTTTATTTAGGGACTAACCTCAACATTAGAAAGGACACCAGGGTACTAAGTTACAAAGATAGCCCAGTTTCTAGCTGGGACCAATGACTTTCAGCCTGGGCTGCCCCTTCGGACAGCAGACTTGGCCTGATCTTTGGAAAAGCCAAAGGGGAGAGACGGGTGTACACCTAGAATTTGTTTTCTGCCTTCCAAAGTTCTCTGGAATTGACAAGTCCAGGAAAGATCACAAAGTGTATGACAGGCAACCAACTGATGAAGAAGGTTTATGACAAGATGACGGGGATCTTGGGGAAGTTCCTCGGAAGTTCTTCAGTGGCTACACCCAAGCTTTGGGGCACAAGTCCAGACTGGGAGTGAGAGGGATCCTAAGGTCTCTGGTACCAAAGATTCAAGATGAGTCACCTCTAGGTTATCTCTTTGAAGAAAGCAACAAAGCTCTTAAGCTATTTCTTAACAATGTCTACATCAGAGATCCCTTCAAATGTGGAATGCTGTGTCAAGTCCTGGGCCTACACCTCACCAAGGTACTGTCAGAAGACCTGAAGAGCCCTGAGACAAACTCCAGGGAGGGGCCTTCACACCTCAGCCTGGACAGAAGGAGAGGTCAGGTTTTCAGCCTGAAGGGGAACTAGTCCCTACTCTGGGAGCTGACATCTTTCCTGTTGAAGCAGTCCTATAACAGAAACAGTGCTCRGAGAAGGTGTGACTCTATCCCAAAAACCTACCCCTTAGAGGATGACTGTCCCCAAATCAAAAGACTAGAAAACACCCTGAAACATCCAGATAAGGACTGGATTAATGGGTTATGACTCAGTTTATGTTTCAAATACAGTGCAAGACTTGAGGGTGGAAATCCCAAGTGAGTGGGACATTTTGCAAGGACCTGGGCCACTAACCCAACAGCCTGTCCCCATCCCTGCCCTACCCTAGGTAGTTGCCAGCATTCTGGAAAGCACTAGATGAGGAAGGGTAGGAGTGTTGCTTTGGGGGGAGGGAGGAGAGGAGGAAGGCCTAGGTGTGGGATTGGGAAAGAAGGATAGGAAGGAAATACAGTAGGGGCTACAGTGATAGGATGGGAGGCAGAAGGTGTAGGGGTTGGAAAAGTGTGTATTACTGAGCCAGGCGGCAAGTGGGTAATGTTTCTCTAGGCCCACAGTGGAAAGAGGCTGGAATTCAAATAGAACAAAAGAGATGTAATTTTGTTTTCGAGTCTGATGTCTCCCAGTAAGCCAGGGGCTGAGTCTGGAAGTCCAGACCCCTACTGACAAGCTGACATTCCTGCAACAGAACTAGGCAAAACCAGGAAGGTAAGATTTCTTGGGCCTTTCACTGTTTTGACATCGGCACCAAAGAGTTTTTATCTCCCCTCCTCATCACCTTACTTTTCCTCCTTGTCTCATCTTCCTGGGGAAAGCAGCCCCTATTCAGCATCCCCAGAGTACTCTCAAAACTATCAAAAGGGCCTTCTCCCAGCTTCTCTGAAAGTATCTGGTCCCAGCCAAGATCCCTCCCTCAGCCCGAAGGGCCTTCTTTAGGGACCCATGCCCATCAACTTCTGATAAGACAGACATGCCAGAACAGGAAGTGGGGAGGCAGAGATGAAGGCAAGTTAGTGCTGGCCTGCTGTCTGCTCCCACCCCACCCACAACACCCCTGTCGGAATGTGTGTGTGCTAGTATGATTGTGAGTGTGATTGGATGATTATGGAAACACAACTATATGGGAGTGGGAATTTGAGTTTAATTGGGGCTGTATGATTTTGTCTATGACTGTCCAATCATGAGTGTGACTTTGTGAGCTTATTTGAGTGACCAAGGTGTGACTGTGAATGAGGCCATGGATATATGAGTATGAATGTCTCACATTACATGCTACTGTGGACCCTTAGCTGTCGTTAGTCACTGTATGTCAGTCCCCACATCATGCACTATCCCTCTGCCCTACTTCTCTGACCAAGGCTTAGGAGCCCATGGGAAATGGCATTACTAGAAGACGAAGGAGTCTATGTCTACAGGCCAAAATTTAAAGCTCAGGAGTGTCACAAGATAAGCACTGCATCTTCACCTGTCTCTGACTCACCTGGTGCCCCAGGTAAAATGCACTCAGATAAAAGGTAGGACAGGAGGAGGAGAGAGAGGAAAGTGTCTAGGCTAGGCTAAACAGCATGAAGTGGCTCTCGCCCACCAGCAGCCTCCTGCTGCTATTGTTGCTCCTAAGCCCAGACCCTGGAGCAGGTAAGTACCTTGGGATAGAAGTCTGGGAATCTAGGTGAAGGGACTGAAGGGAAGGGGCCCAGGAAGTCCATCCTTCAGCTATGTAATGAAGCAGTTCTGGGTCTGGATCCTTCTAAATACACGGACCCGTTGTCCCATAGCATTGTTACTGCCACCCAGCACTACCTGCTGTACTCAGCTCTACAGACAGCCACTCTCCAGAAAGCTACTGAGGAAGGTCATTCGGGTGGAACTGCAGGAGGCTGATGGGGACTGTCATCTCCAGGCTTTCGTGTGAGTTCTGACCCCACCCTTGATACCCCTGATTCTAACCTCAATCCCAACTTTATCCCCCACTGCTAAATCTGATACCAACTTGGTTTTTCACATCTGACTCTTATCCCTAAGCCCTGGACCCTAACCTCATCCCCAAGCTATGGACATAGCTTTGGATCTTTTCCTTCCCAGGCTTCACCTGGCTCGACGCAGTGTTTGCATCCATCCCCAGAACCGCAGCCTGGCTCGGTGGTTTGAGCGCCAAGGAAAAAGTTTCCCAGGGAAAAGGCTCCCTGCCTGAATCTGATGCTACAAGGGAAAATGGGCTGGAGTCCCCAACAGCTAAAATAATAAAGCAAGATTAGACAATGATCTGAGTGTGATATAGAGCAACCTCCTCGTTCTCTTTATTTTGCATCTTCATAGCCCCTGCAAGGGGCAAGACCAAGAGTCAAGGACCCACACACGTTCTTCAGGCACATACATACATATATACATACATACATGCAGAGAACACATTCTCCCTACTTCACATACACATGGACACAGACAGGCACATTCCTCAGGTGGACCTCCAGTTCTGGGATGAAGTCAGAGGTTCTGGTACCTTTCAGCTGGCACATTTGGAATAAACTATTTCATAGAAATGGGATCCAGATAGAACTTCCAGCTGATAGCACTGTCCAAAGGGATCTACAATCCTGCTTGGTTCTATCTGTTCCTTCATCCAAACCAGCAAGACAGACTTATAGGTGAAATCAGCTGAAGTTCTTCTGGGTCCTCTACAGGTTTGGAGCACCTAAAAGAGCAGGAGGCAAATCAGGAGAGCTAGCAGAACTGGGTCTTAGTCTAGACATCTGAGAATGAGCGGAGCCCAGTTCTGAGCTCAGCACTCAGAAGGAATATGGGAGCCCAATTCAGAGAGTCCCAATACCCAAAAATGAGAAAATAGCTTTAGGCCCAGGCACATCAAGAATAAGTGAGGGTAGGGCTGGGGATGTGGTTCAAGTGATAACGTGCTCGCCTGGCATGTGCGGGGTGCTGGGTTGGATCCTCACCACCACATAAAAATAAAATAAAGATGTTGTGTCCACTGAAAACTAAAAAATAAATATTAAAATATTCTCTCTATCTTTAAAAAAAAAAAAAAAAAAAAAAAGAATGAGTGAGGAGACCAAGCACTGATCTAAGACATCCCAAGAAAAAGGATGGCTACCCAGCTTTGATCATTAGACTCAGGTATTAACCCTGAAAATGAGAAGTGGAGAACATCTAGAATCCTCTGTACCCTGAGAGGGAGCAGACCCTCTTCTGAGCCAACAGACTTGAATGAAAAGGCCAACCCCCGCCTAGAAGAATGAGGAGATCCAACTCAGATTTATGGCACCCTTAAAATTACCAGCTCATCTGGCTCTTAAACCAAACACTCTCAAAATGTGAGCATACATCATCAAGTCCAAACCATTTGGAGGTCCTACTCACCTGGAAGCTTGTCCACCGGAATCATTGGGGCCAAGAACTCAGGCTTTTGGGGTCCATCCTTCCCACCCCGTCTCAGCCTCAACCTGGGCACAAAAAGGTAGCTGTCTCCCTGACATGGTGGGGCATCTCAGTCTCCTCCAAAAGGGTTTGTTAGTAAAGGGTCAGGAGAGGAATCAGTGAGAATCATGAAGTGGGGTGTGGGAGGTCAGAGTGGGGAGAGGTAGTTCCAAAAACAGATTAAATGGTAAGGCATGAAGGTTGGGGATGAATGTGGTCTCTGGGGATCAGAACACCTGTGGAGATTTAGACTGAGGAATCAATGACAGTCACTTACCACAGCCCCAGTGCTAGGGCCCCAGCTGCCAGTCCCAGGAAAGAAAAGATTCCTAAAGACACTAGCATAGCCACCTGCTCCAGGGGGTCCCTGTGATCTGAGGGGAAGACCATATACCACTATGAGAGTGAACCCAACCAAGCTCAGGTGGGGTATGTCCTTTTCTCAGGACTTTTTGTCCTCTACAACCTTTGTCCATCTACCCAAACTCACCAAGCGGCCTCGGGTCTGGCTGTAGAGAGGGCCTTGGAAGAGCAGGGCTGTCCATATGAGCTATTGTCTCCACCTGCACTTGTGGCTGGCTCTCATCAGGTACTTCTTTTGGCAGGGGCCCTTGAGGGAAAGCGAGACCTGAGAAATGTCCACAAATGTGCACAGACAGTGGGGGCAGGAGCCAGGCCTTGGGTTGCACTTAGGGGTACTACTTGGGTCACACTTAGGAAACAGATCCTGAGAGGGCATGGCCAGCTTTGGGGGACTTGGTTTGTAAAAGTAGAGCCTGCAACTACAGATATGGAGACCAGGGGCAGGGTTTAAACTAAGGCAGAGCTGCAGGCCACAGGGCCTGAGAAATGGGATAAAAATCTCAATCAGTGCCTACATGGGTGAGGAGTATGTCACTGGGCTGCCTTCAGTGAACCAATACAGCTGACAAATGCTTGGAGTGGGTCCTCTGCCCTTTTCTTTGACTTTGTCCCTCACCAGAACTGGGAGTCCCCCAGACCTCAGGGCTCCAGGCACTCCAGGTACCGGCATCCAAAAAATCCCGGGCACTGACTCGGACCGCATGAGGCAGCCCAGCCACAGCATCAGTGATCACCTCTTCCAAGCCAGCTGGCTCCACCTGGGGAGAAAATGATTTCTCAGTGCATTATCCAGGTCATAAGCACAGAGCTTACCTAGTCACAGTCTGAAAAGAGCTCCCCTTCCTCCCAGTCCTGTCCTATCAGCCTCATAGAGGGGGTCCAGGCCTCATGTAGGGTAGCTGATGAGGAAGAGTCTACCCCTGGTGTTTGGAAGACAGTAGTGTGTCCTGATTACCTAGATAGGCTGTGGCATCATTCTGTCTGGGTTCAAATCTTTGCTAAACCTCTTACTGGGTGAATTTTGGGCCTCTCTGCCTCAGTTTCTTCATTTGTGAAATGAGGATGAATATACCTAAGTGTGATGATGTATGTAAAACATGTAGCACAGTGATCAGTTGGCAGACAGCATTAAAAATGGGTTATGATCCTCCACTGACACAGACTGAAGCAAGAAGATTTTGAGTTCAAAGGCAGCCTCAGCAACCCTGTCTCTAAGTAAAATAACAAAAGAGGGCTAGAGGTTTGGCTCAGTGGCTAAGTACCACTGAGTTCTAACCCTAGCACCAATAAATAACAAACAAATAAATAAATAAATTTACAATACATAAAGATTATTAACATTTAAAGAGATGAAAATACTTATTACAATAATCTGATTACTACTACTTATATAGATGTACTGAATTATCACAATGTACCCCATAAAATGAATATATAAAATATATACTAAAGAGTTTTCAATAACTTCATAAACAGTTGTGTAAAAGTTTTCTAAAATAAATAGAATTTCATCTGTCATGATTCTAAAGATGTCAACAGATAATTTGTATACTTTCAGAAAATTTAAAAGCATTTTAGTGGATTGGGTTCAAATCTTTTTCTTTTTCTTTTCTTTTCGTTTCTTTCTTTTTTCCTTTTTTTACCCACAAATTACACCCAGTGGYGATTAATCATTGAGCCATACTCCCAACCATTTAGTTATTTATTTATTTGTTTGTTTATTTATTTGTTTATTGAAACAGGGTCTCAGTAAGTTGCTTAGGCTCTTGATAGGTTGTTAGAGAATGGGCTCAAACTTTTGATTCTCCTGCCTCAATCTCCCAAGTAGCTGAAGTTACAGGTGTGTTCCACATTGCAATTTATTCAAAGAAGGAGGAAGAGTTCTTGCTATTGATTCAATTAAGCATCAGTCTATGCTGCTCACTGTTTCAAGGGTATGTTGCCTTATGTAGCAACAGTTTCTTCATTTTCTGGTTGATATGTTTCATAAGAGATCAAAATGTAAAATTCAAATGGTAGAGAAATACATGAAAAATGTCTGACCTTAATAATTCATGCCATAAAAATTATGGATTTTTAGTATTATTTTAATAAGAAAAAGAAAAAATATTAAAGTTGCATTTCTAAATAGATGTTTRTATTTTATGTCACTGAATATATCAAAAGATGTACTGTGGGAAATGTTGAAATATTATATATATCTTATATTCTACTGCTTCATAATATTGTTCCTTTTGTGTGGTAATTTTGGATTTAAAATTATGACCTAATAAACAACTAAAAATTGGAAAAAAAAATGGGTTATGATCCAATCCTGCTGCTCCCTAGACCTGACATCAATCTCTGATATCTTCAGAGATGGGAATTCACTACTATTCTCAGATTTGTATGAGTGTTTGTATGAGGATATGCCTCTGGGTACAAGGTATTTCTCTTCCAAGAAAAGTTCTTTTTAAAAAACCACTGCTCAGCAGAATACAACAGACACTAGTATGGCAACATGTAAATCAATGGAAGTGTAACTGATGTGATTCTGCAATCTGTATACGGGGTAAAAATGGGAGTTCATAACCCACTTGAATCAAAGTGTGAAATATGATATATCAAGAACTATGTAATGTTTTGAACAACCAACAATAAAAAAAAAAACACTGCTATCTTCTCATAGATAGGTTTACATCATAATTATAGCCCTGCGGGGCAGAGGCTCTGTCATCCCAACTTCAACCCTAGCATCCAACACAACACCTGGCCTATAGGGAGAACTTTGTACAGGGAGGCATCAGGTCTTCAGGGACATTCTAGCACCTGGAAGGTATGCAGAACGCACAGTATCACAAAACCAGAGAACAGATTCAAGCCTCACCGTGGACCACGCTGGATGCTGTGCTGGCCGGTACTGCAACCGGAACTTGAGCAGGAAGTGGGGCTGGCGGGGCCAGGAGGTGGGGTATGTCCAGCTGGCACGCAGACGTCGCGGGTAACCAGGTACTGACTCCACTCGCAACCCCTGGGGGGGGTCAGGGCGCACTGAGGGTGATAATACACAAAGTCAGGTTAGGCAATGGGTACCCATCCCTCTCATACCACTTCCTGAGATGTGTGATTAACAGCACCCTAGCCAGGTGCTTTCAAGAGGGGAGGATGGAATCTTAAACTTGATTATCCATGAGGCTCAGGCAGGCCCTGTCTATCATCCTTATTAAAAAAAAAATAAATAAATAAGCTGAGATCAGGAGGTAGGGTTTTGAAATGTTTGTTGAGTGAATAAAAAAGAAATTCTTCTTTCTATCCAAGGAAAATGAATTGGCTGAAATTCTTATCAGAGTTTTAGTGCCACCTTCCACAGACAGATCAAAAGGAGAGGCCAGCAGGGGCTTTCCTTGGGCAAGAAAGACATTAGATTCAGCTGTTTCAGCATAAGGCCTAGATGTAGGTGGTCAGCTCTGAGGCTAGGCAAAAAAGACCTATGAGTAATAAATAGCAGCAGCCTTTAGAGTGTGTGCAGAAGTAATCAAGCCTTCTGGGCTCTGATCCTTTTGACTTCTTGGTCTCTAAGGGGCCATCTGTATGTGGAAGGAGTCTATATGGGAATTATTTGGGAGCTGAGGGTGGAGGAACTTAGTCTTGGGTCTCCCTGGTGGGGATCTGAGGAGAAGTGTAGAGGCAGGTACTCACAGATATTCTGCAAGCTCACATCCAGCAAGCGTGTGCTGGCACCCAGTGGGTTCACCTCAGTCACATTAATCCGGTACTGGCTCCAAAACTCTGCCCCATGGACCACACATCGAGCAGCTCCTAAGGGGTCCTGTGGGCATGGCCAGGGCCCTGTAGATGGACTCACCCTAATAGGGAGAATATAATCTTGAGCTTTGGAAATGCCCATTGTGGGATGCATGCTGGAGCCCCAAGCCTCTCCCTCATGTCCTACCTCTGGCCATCTGTTCCTGGCACTGTCTTCTTCCTGGTAGGGAGGGGACCACCTGAGGTCAGGAAGGAAAAGAGGGTCCTCTGCCCTCTCTGAGGCTTTCCTCAAACCTCCCTCTCTGCTTTCCATCCCCACACTGTGCTGGCACACCCAAGTGCATATACACATACGACTGACCATGCACACACCTGTAGGAGGTGAGGTAGCGGGTGGGTAAACCGCTGACCTGGCTGGGACTCCAAGTGCAGGAGAAATTTTCATAGTCAGCTGCTTGGCAGGAGACCACAGGACGGGCTGGGGGGTCTAGAGACAGAAGGTACATCTGGAGACTAAGCAGTCCCCTACTCCTCCCTATCCTAGAGGGCTTGCTCAGGTCCTKATTCCCTTAGAAACTCCACATCTTAGCACTTCCACCCTCCCTAACTCACAGCCCAGCTTCAGGATCACTGTGCCTRCAAGTGCACCATCCAGGGTCTGGCAGATATAGGTGCCCTCATCAGTGCTGTCTGCCTGCGCCAGGACCAGTTGGTGCCCCAGCCCAGAATCGGGTCCCTGGAACAGCTTGGAGTCTCCGTCCCGAAACCAGGACACTGGGGTCCTAAAGGTGAAATGAGGTGATGACAAAGATTTAAAGTGTAAGTTAGACCATGCCACTGACCTACCAAGCCCCTTGTGACACAACCCTTGCCTTCTTTTCCTTTGCCAGCTTTTACCTCCCTCCCCTCCACTCACTGCACTCCAGCCACATTGCTCTTCTTTATGTTCCTTAGAAGTATTGAGCTCATACCCATCTCACATCCTTTGCACCAGCTGTTCCCTCTGCTAGGAATGCTTCTACCCTAAATTGTGCAAGGCTGCCTCCTTCCTAGAGGCAGAAATCAGCTTCAATGTCACCTTCTCTGAGAGACCTTCCCTGATTACCAATAAAAAATAAACACTCAGTTATCCTCTTCTAAATGATGCTCTTTGGATTTTCTGTCCTGCAAGTGTTGCTACCTAGGAAGACTCCTGTTTGATTATTGTCTGTCTTCCCCACTAGGATGTAAACTCTATGAGGGCAAGCTCCTTGCCTGGCTCATACAATGCTGTGTCACAGAGCCTAAAATAGACCAGACACTTAGCAGGTTTGCTCAATATATGTTGGTTGCATTTCCTTTTGAATAACAGAGGGTGAGGACAGAGAGGTAAGGATTACAGTCAGAGGGGGCAAGGATGGGAGGGAACAGGAGGACTGAGCAGGGTCAAGAAAGGGTCATAAACCAGGTGTGGTACTGCATGCCTACCATCCCAGCCACTCTGGAGACTGAGACAGGAGGATTGAAAGTTCAAGGTCAGCCTCAGCAACTTAGATTTTTGTCTCAAAATAAAATTTTTAAATGGAATGAAAGTGTAGCTAAGTGGTAAAGTGCTTGCCTACTATGCACAGGACCTTGGTTCAATCCCCAGTACCACCAAAAAAAAAGTGTCAGAYCAACAGGCGGGGTGGGGCAGAAGTGGGGAGGACACTTACCCAGCACTCACTCCAGGGCAACATAGCATCACGGATCTGCCAGGCTGCCCATACTGGACCCCTGTGGAGGGCATTTCTGAGGTGAGACTTTTCCTCACTTTGTGAGAATGAGAGGGTAAGGAGCTTTGGGTCAAAGCATTTGTAATGATCTGACAGAGATCAGAGGTCAAAGTAGAGACATGACCCTGATTGTTACAAGTTAGGAATGGGAAGGGGCCACAGTGAGAGTAGCAAGTCCCAAGTCAGAGCTGGGGGTCACAGAACAGCATTCTTCTCACCTGGGGGTCCCCAGGCCTGGGGGCAGAGGGAGGAAGCAGACACCAGGGCTGTAGCCACAGCCACCAGGACCTTGCTCAGCCCTGAGCAGCTGCTGCTCATCTGCAGAGAGAGAGACAGTGTCAGGAGTACCCCATCCCTAAGATAGGAAGCTAAAACCTCATTCTTCCTCTCCACTTCAAAATTGGGGCTTCCTAGGAGAAAAACTGAACATGAAGTAGAGTAAGCTTATCAGAATTTTTTTTTAAATATTTATTTTTTTAGTTCTCGGCGGACACAACATCTTTGTTGGTATGTGGAGCTGAGGATTGAACCCGGGCCGCATGCATGCCAGGCGAGTGCGCTACCTGAGCCACATCCCCAGCCCCTATCAGAAATTATTGAGAGGTCTGACCTGCACTCCCCTTTCTCACCATATAGCTGTATGCACACACACACACACACACATACACACACACACGCTCACACCCTCCATCTCAGTACTGGGCTTAGGGCCCAGAACAAAAGCCGGAGGCAACAGACAGTGCCAGCATCCACCCCCCAACACTGCCCTTGGCGCCCACCCCTGGCACCAAGGGCTGGCCCTGGCTCAACCACTCCCATTAACCCCTCCAATCCAGCTGTTGGAAATTCTGRCATTCACTTCCACCTGTCCATAGCTAATCACTGCCTGTAACTAACCTGGARCAAACCTATCACCCTGGGGTGGGGGGCTAAGATGGTGGGTTTAACACCTTGTAAGCCTGGGCCTGGCTTCTTGCTCTGGCTACTTGGGCCATTCAGCTGGGCCTGGCTTGAAATCATGTTGGTCTTGAGCCTGTGAAGCCGGATGGGCCTAGGGTGCAGGCTAGGGCTGCAGTTAAGCGGATCCAGATGCCCTGGCTGCTGCCAGAGGCTGGGGGCGGGCGAGAAGCCAGCAGATGGAGATGGAGACAGGGTGGCGGAGAGGGGAGGGAGTTGGGAGCCTGCAGGGACAGGGCCCAGCAGCAGGGTAGGGGGGTACAACACCAAGAGATCACTCAGTGATGAGGACCAGCCGGTGATGGGGGCTCAACAAGGAATACTAAGAAATCAAGAAGTCTAAGAAGGAGTGTACAGAGAGAGTAGCCAGTGCTAGAAGACAGGGTTCTAGGTTGGCAGATGAACAGGAGGAGAAAACCATGAGGAAAAGGCAGATAGGGAGAAAGCCCTGGGCAAGAGTGCCAGAGAGGAATAACAAGGACCCCTTCAGAATAGAATGGGTTCACTCCTGCCCGCCCCGCCCCCCCAGCCACATTTACCCTGCTTAGCTCTGCCCTACCTTGCTGATCCCAGTAACTGACTGTCCATGGCCTCCAGGGCGTCCTTCTACCAGCTACAGCACAAGCTTCTGCTCCACTCAGTTCTGGGACCCCAGAACCATCCCCTCCCTCTTTCCCTGCCCCGCCCCCCTTTGGGCCCAAGCTTAACCACCCCTAGCCAGGCCCCCTCCTTCCTCCTCCTTCCTCCTCCTTCCTCCCTCCTCTTCCCTCCTCCCCTCCCAACCGAGGCCCTGGGAAGGGAAGAGGCCTCCCCCCAGACTGAAAAGGAAGCCACAGATGCAGCCAGGACCAGCAAGGAGAGGAGAATTGCTTATGCTTATGTCCCTGTCAGTGAGAAAATCCCTGTGTTTTCACCCAGTCACACATAGTTACATTCATGCATGGAATCACTGGGTATAGTTAACAAAAAGACAATCCTTTGAACACACATGGACACAATCAAACAAAAAAACAGACACAAGCTCATGCTCTCACTCTTTTTCATTCCACAGCAAATGTTTCCTTAGGGAATAGATGGCTGTGTTTCCAGAGAAGAAAGGCCCCAGGCTGAGGGATATAAGTGAAAGGCCAAAGAGTTCAGTTCCCCCTCCCCTGGAGGTCCCAGCCATTTCTCACCTTTCCCTTCAACTTTTGGGCCTCAGCATCAGGAAATGCCTTTGGTCCCTTGGTGCCAGATATACAAGACCCACACTTAACCTCAAACTCACAAATAGTTATTCAGTCACACTGATATACTCAGACATCCTCACTCAGACTCAGACATATTTACACATATCTATACACCCACATACACATACATATACTGTGCCCCTGTGCAACTCTTCATAGTTTAAGCCATCTCTCCCTGGAGCTTTTACCAATGGTATCAGCATCTCATCACTATTACAGTCCCCAGGTAATCGAAAGGACAGGATGAACAGATGAGTCAGGCATAGAAACACTAAGAAACAGCACATAACAACAGAACTAGAAAAGCAGATTCAAGACACCTGAGGAACAAAACTGCAGAGATAATTATTTCCAGAAAGATAGTCACAGGGTGAGAAAAAGAAATACAAGGAAACAGAAAATAAGGTGCAATAGACCAGTGATGAAAACTCTTTTCTTTTGGTTGAGTGGCAAGCAGTTGTGGCTTGAACCCAGGGCTTCACATATGCTAGACCACATGTTCTACCACTGAGTTACACCCCCAAACCCCCAGATAATTGAGCAAAGGAAGCAGAGGAACCCACGTATGCTGGGAATGGGTCTGTCTAAGGTGCAGGATAAGTTGAACATCAATTCTATGGAAATGCAATGTAGCTACACATAGTCACAAGTCTCACTCTTGCTCCTCTAGTCACACATTGGCACACACAAACAGCCACCCACTCTCAAAGTGGCAGTTTTTTTTATTTTTATTTTTTATTTTTTTGTAGTTGTAGATGGACAGCTTGCCTTTATTTGTTTATTTTTATGTGGTGCTAAGGATCGAACCCAGTGCCTCACACATGCTAGGCAAGTGCTCTGCCACTGAGCTACAGCCCCAGCCCTGGCAGTTTTAAACCCCACAGGGACCTTCCCAAAATGCATTCCCTGATGTGGTCACAGACCCTCTTACACACAAACACACAGCCCATCTCACCCCAAACTGCACATTGACAGATATACACATAATCCCACCCTTGCACGACCACATGCAGTCTCAGCTATATGCACGCTGACACATGCAGTCACATTAGCTGACAGTTGCACCAAGTGTCAATTAGTTGCGAAGTTTCACACACTGACATTGTCATAGACATAGCCTCAGAGTCACACAAACACACTAACAGTCCGTCGATAAGCCCCAGCACTTTAGCCCCTGCCCCGCCCCTCCTGGCAAGACTTCATTGTCTACACCCGCCACCCCACCAGGCCTCACCTTCCGCGGCCGCCGCCGCCAGCGCCCTCGCCCTCTGCCCCGGCCTCTACTCCCTCCCGCCCSGGGCCCCCGCAGTGGGGGCGGCTCCACCCAGGCACCAATGGAAGAAGAGAGGTAAAATAAGGGGGGACTCCCGGCCCATTGGAGCCTCCAACTGCCAATCACTTCCACCCCCACCTCGGCCGGACACTTCCTGTCCCGTCCCGGGGATGGAGGAGGATCCCGATGACCGAGGCTTAGAAACTGGGTTGCTGGAGTCTCGAGTTAAAGGCCTGTCCACCCCTGGACAGCAGGTTTGAAAGTGCTCAGGCCCTTCCCATTTCTGGCTGTACACAGAGCAGGCCTCAGGTTCAGGGCTCAGGAGCCACTGGGCAGGTGACTGGAGAAGCTGAAGGTGCCCCAAGTTCCAGATAAGATAGGAAGGAGGGCTGTTTAGAGCAGTGGTTTTCAAATTCTGCTGGTGTTGTGATTTTAACACTGCCACACCCCACCCCATACAAGAATCCTGGAGGTTGAACCTACATGCCAGTATTTTTTAAATTCCCCCAGAGGATTCCAAAATGTAACCAAAATAGAGGCCTATGTGTATCTGTCTTTAGGTATGCCTTAAGAAACCAGCCACCCACATAGGACTCTCATCTACTCCCCAATCCCTGGAGGCTCAAAAGAGTACTATGTCTGTCTGATCTCCTTCCAGACCAGGACAACACTCACTCACAAGTCCCAAGCACTTCCCCTCCAAGATTTCAGGAAAAAAAAAAAAAAAAAAAAGATCCTGGAATGGAAGGCAGGCAGCCAAGGTTCTTCTGGGCCAGGTCCAATCACTGTTCAGCCTTAGCGTGATTTCCGGGGCCCAGAGACTCAGGATCCCCTGGGAAAAGAGTGAAGACCCAGCAGTCTAACCATCCTGGTTATTCCATTCACCTTAAAATTTGGAGGTTACCAGGTGGCATCAGTCTTCTGCTACTGTTACACAGGGAAAGATCCAGAACAGTGGGGGTAGACCCAGGGTCATTCTGAGAACTGTACCCTCTTTCTGAAGCCAGATTTTAAAGATAGGTAGTTAGTGTAGTTAGGTAAATCGGTTCTAATATCGAGTAAGATTAATAAAATGGAGGACATTATTGAGAATGGAATCCAGGAAACCAGAGCAGCACTTGGGGGAATTGAAATCTTAAAGTCCCCAAGGCCTGGAGCCCATCCAAGGAAATGTTAATGATGCAGCTCCCAGCAAACATGGAGATGCTAATCCAAAAGCCCTTCCTGCCCAGATTACTCCTTCAGCCCACAGGTCCCCCACCCTTTGGGCCTTCCCACCTACATTCTGACACTGCAAGATAACAAAGGACAGGAATGCGGGAAACTGAAAGAAGATCTTAGATATAAAAGGGGGAAGACCTCGCCCTTCTGCGGATTCCACCTTTTGGGTCCCCTTCTTCCTCTGGGGAGAAGTCTTTTCTAGTGTCCTTTAATAAAGCTTCTACTTTCCATTCTAAACTTGCCTTGGTGTTATACTTCAGCATTGGGGAAGCAAGGACTCRTCACCAGTAAATAGCGGTAACACTTCTAGGCCTTGGGGCTCTTAACTCTGGCTGCCCATTCTCTGCCAGAGCTGTTTTCTACCCTGTGCAATGAYCAGGGCACAGAGGCAACTGAATTGAGCCAGCCCATACTGTGAGAGTCTAGAGAAGCCAAAACACAAAGCCACCTACATGCTCCCTACCCGCCCCTTTAGCCCCTGTGGGCTGGAGCAGAGCCAAATTATAGCCACTCACAAAGCCAGGGTTCTGGCAAGAAGCCCAAGGTCTGGCCACTGACCACTGAGACTAGGCTCCTGCTTACCCTCTCCCCACCAAATCCTCAGGCTCAGACTTGGTGAGCTAACACCAGGCTTGGTGGTGAAGGGAGCACTGGCCTTCCCAAAGCCTTAGCCACAACTAAGAACACAAGCTTTTGAAATAGTTTTTTCTTTCTTTCTTTTTTCTTTTTTTTTGGTAGTACTAGAGATTGAGATTGAACCCATATAACTAAGAACACAAGCTTTTGAAATAGTTTACTATTTCTTTCTTTCTTTGGGAGTACTAGAGATTATTGAGATTGAATCAAGAACCTTGCACATGCTAGACAAGTGCTAAGTGCTCTACTACTGAGCTACATCCCTAACCCTTTTTATTTTTATTTTAAGGCAAGGTCTCACTGAATTGCCCAGTTTGGCCTCAAACTCAGGATCCTCCTGCCTCAGGATCCCAAGTAGCTAGGAGTAGAGGTATATGCCACCCCACCCAGCTTTAAACAGTTGTCTAAGATGGAATGCCATTTATACCACAAAGAAATCTACAGGCCARATGCAATACTGAATATTAATTTTGTTCAGAGATTTGAGGTAGAATTTTTGCATCAAGTTTTTGCACATCTGCAGGCAAGGAAAAGTTGTGGCTGGAACTGTACCCTTGGCTTTTAACCCTATCCCTGAAGGTTACAGTCCCTCTGGTGTCAGAATACGTGATTAAAGTTTGAGAGCACAGTTTTATTGACTGATTAAAGTTTGAGAGCACAGTTTTATTGACGCTAATCTCCAAATTCCAGGACCCAATTCCCTCAGGGAGAAGGATTCAAGGCTCTGTGGTCAGCATGGTCAGGCGATGGCGGCTGTCTCCCTGTCCTTCTGCCCCAGGCAGTAATGTACCTCAGGAAGTGCCCTTAGTCTCTCTGCAGCCTGGAAGGGAGATAAGGAACAATCAGGGAGGGTGAAGGTCAGCCAGAATGACAGGATGGAATTCTTAGCACCCAGAAGACACTGGGGATTATGGGACTGGGAGACTGGTGACAAGACTGCTGAAGTCACAAGAGAAGTTAGAGTTGAGCAGCTCCTGAGTACCTAGGAATACCTAGGTTTTAATAGGGATTTTCAGAGTCATGATTGTTAGAGTGCCCTGGGAAAGTGGAAGAGAAAATGTCATCTGGGGATCCAGGATGCCCCAGAGTCCTGACCTGCTCAGGGGTGAGGTCCCTCTGAGCCTGGGCTAGCATTTCATAGCCAACCATGAATTTCCGGACAGTAGCTGAGCGCAGGAGTGGAGGGTAGTAATGAGCGTGCAGCTGCCAGTGGTCCCAGTCAGCACCAGCCTCTGATCCTGTAGGAGCCCCTGATAGGAAGAAGAGGCAGAGATGGTGGTAAGAGCCCTTTCTCAGTTCTTCAGTCTAGCCTCTACCCCAAAACAGGTCAAATACCTGAAAACTACATCTCCTGGCATCTTTCACCAGAGATCTGCACAGTACCTGATAACAGTTCGACAAGCTTGCTGCTCCACCCTCAGTTAAGTATCCCTGATCTGAACAATCCCCAATAAGTATTTCAAAACCTGGTAGGGATTTTAGCCCCCTGAACTGGAACCTGGGAGTCCAGAAATGTTGGGCTAGATATATACATAAAAAGCCTCACCATGCCAGCCCATGGAGTAGGGAAAGGATGTCTCAAACAGGTTGTCATACTTGGTCAAGAGCTTCTTCATGATGGAGGCTAGATCTGGAATTAGTACCTGACTCTTAGCCTGGAAACCAGATACTGGCCCTACCAGAGCCAGCCCCATCCAATGCCCAGTCCCAGGATCCTAGCTGAGAGACTCACCATCACGCTCAATTGGGGTCAGCTCAGGCAGCCGCCTCACATGCCGACGGGGAAGCAATAGTGTCTGGAAGGGCCACACTGCCCAGAAGGGGACCAGCACTAACCAGTGTTCACTAGTTAGGACCAGACGCTCCTGGGCACATAGAATGGAGATGAATTTATCAAAGTGGGTATGCTAAATGAGGCGGGAACTGTAAACAGGTATGGGAAGCAAAAGAAAAGAATCTGATGGATTCTCACCACTTCTACCACTATCACCCTAGTCTTAAGCTACTATCATCTTTCCTTTAGATCACAACTAGTGTCTTCTATCAAGTCTCTTGCTACCTTCTATCCTATTCTTCACACACATCTCTTTTGGGGTAAGAAGGCTGAGGACTCTGGGAACACAGGGCCTGGCAATCTCCCACCTTCCTGAGTAGCTCCTGGCGACCATACTCCATCAGAAGGGGCTCGCCATGCTGACTTTGATAGGCCAGCTGACACCGCTCCTCACGCTGGGCAATATCTGGCAGGAAACTGCTGGCCCACACCTGTCAAGAGAAGAGCAGGCAGATACTTTACTTCCAAGCCTCCATATCACTAGCATATTTTCTTTGTCTCATCCCTTTATCCAGTTACCCTTCCCACAGTGCTGGCTTGGATCCAGCCACGAAAGCCACTAGAGCACATACACATTTACCTGGCAGTGAGGGTGGGGGTTAGAACATCCCATCATGGCTCCTTTGTTTTCAAAGATCTATTGGGTAGGGGTAGGGAGATTTAATAGCAAAAAAAAAAAAAGAAAGAATCATATCAACTCCCTCTCAACCATATCCTGTGGAAATGCTAATCCCTTGAATTGAACCTGTACTGCCCCCTCCCTGCCCATCCAGGAAACAAACAGACCTGTACCCAAGGGTACTGGGCACCCAGCTCTTCTGTGACTGAGGCCCATGCATCGATGACAGCTCGTATCTCAGGGACTGACATGAGTGGCAGTGTCACATCCGACCAGGGGTGGAAGCACATGACCTTACTAGGSAGTGAGGGGAAAAGGGACAACATAGGACACAGCTTGGGTGCTAGGGGCAGGGTCCATCCACAGGGCTTAATCTTCAACCCTGGGTTGAAGGCTATAAGAGGGGAAATCCATAGTTACCAAACTCCTCGAGCAGCCCCTGCTTGGAACAAAGGGTGATCACTGGGTCCTAAAATAAAGGGACATCTGTGCAGCAAAAGTTTCCAAGAGGTCTATTCTCCCTCCTCCCCAACAGTAATTAAAATCAGGATACCTGGATCAGGAGCATCAGGCTGCAGAGCTGGGAAGTCATTGTCAAACAGGAAAGTGCCATCATAGTGGGGATTCACCTATTGACAAAGATGGGCTAGAAGCATTCACTGCTCCATTACACCACCTGGTGGGCTTCAAGGGCAGCACAGGGTGCAAGGAATGGAGAAGACCCCTCCAGGGAACCAAAAGACTTGGTGGGATATGACTCAGAGGAGGTCCATTGCACCTGTGGATGAAGGGCAGCTCTAAGGGGTGACTACTCCCTGCTGGCTGACTTTGTGGGTGTGGGCTGTACAGGTTTACCTCTCCATTGGCTCGTGTGGCCCCGGGACACAGAGGGTTTAGGGGGTCATGGCGGGGCACTGTCTTCAGAAGTTGCCGCTCCACTTGCCCTTGCCAAGGCCGCTTCATGCGGTGAGCTGACACCAGCACCCACTCATCCTGCAGCGGGTTGTAGCGAATATGCTGATGCTCTGGGGGCAAACAGTCAGCAAAGATCAGTCAGCAAAGCTCTGTAACCCTCTCCTCTGAACTTCACCCACCAGCAGGGTGGCGTCCTCTGGCCCCGTTCAGCTCAGGAAGGTGCTAAAGACCCTGGGCTGAACCTTCCCAACACCAAATGCCCTACAGCTCTTCTCTCTCAGTCCGGGTGGGCCCCACGGACCTTGAGTTACGGGGCAAGGGAGCTTCCTAAGGAAGAGGAGGACTCTGCGTCCCAGCGAGACCGGGCAGCCCTACAATTACCGCTAGCCCGGAAGGTTGCTGCGGCGGAGTCCGCCTCTGACGCCTGCCGGCGCTGCTCAGAATCGGTTCCGCCGAGCGACATGAGGCCACCCCCGGGATCCTCAGGAACGCCAGTGGGGCCGCAACTCTCCCTTCCATTTCTATCCGCCCCGCCCTGCGTTCCGATCATTGGCCGGCAGCCAACACGTGACAACCTGAGAGGCCTGCCAGCCACTTGAGGGCGGGGCTCAGGACTGCAGAGAAGCAGGCTGAACTACAAGATAGCCCTCCACCCAGGGCTAGATCCAGTACTGGAAAATCCTCTGTGAAAGGAGCTTACTGCAGAGTCCTTCTGCCCCAGGACGTTTACAAGATTTCTTTGCTGCACTCATTCATTCATCTGGCCATTCATTCTGAAAATTCTTACTGAGCATCAGCCATGTGCTAAGCATCTAGGCTAGGATTTTCCTGTGCGCACAAGTTAGGCATGGCCTCTACTCTCTCAGAACTTTATTCTAGTAGAGCTATGACTCTGGACCTAACAAACACCTGAGTCACCTGCTCAGTAGCTGTGGTGGAAAAGAGGTTAATCCTGCAGGTGCAGGTGGGCCTTGATAGCTGAACACTAGTCCCTCAGGCATTACCTGGAGGAGTACAGCAGAAACAATTGTGTGTAGGGGGTAAGTAACAATATTTATCTCTCCTTCATGCTCTCCCTCACACACATACACATACACATACACATACACATACACATACACAGATGGGAAAGGTAACAGGGCTATAAATGATATAAAAAGAGCCAGACATGGGCTGGGGATGTGGCTCAAGTAGCGTGCTCACCTAGCATGTGTGAGGCACTGGGTTCGATTCTCAGCACCACATAAAAATAAAATAAAGACAGTGTGTCCATCTAAAACTAAAAAATAAATATATATATAAAAAAAGAGCCAGACATGGTGAATTGCACACCTGTAGTCCCAGTTACTTGAGAGGCTGAAGTGGGAGGATCATTTGAGACCAGTGTCAAGAACAAAGAAAGAAAGAAAAAGAGAAGGAAAGAGAGAGGGAGAAGGAAGGAAAGAAAGAAGCAAGGAAGGGCAGGGGGAGAAAAGGAAGGGCAGGGGAAGAAAAAGGGAGAGAAAGAAAGAAAGATAAGCAGGTGGGTGAAGAAGGGACAGGACTATCAGTAGCAAAGTAGCTCCAGCTATCTGGGAGGCATCAGAAGTGTTTGTTTCCTTTATATATCCCCTTCTCCAAATTTTTCTTCTATCAGATGGATTAGCTAACACTAAAACAGATTCAAATTAATTCCTCCCCTGGTGAAAGCACATGAAAGAGAATATGAAAAGAAAATGGAGGCAGACCTCAATAGATCAGTAATGCTTTATTAAGCAACAGAGGGTCATATTTTAGAAAGGGGAAAATGATGGCGGGCTCCAACAAGGGTCTGGGTTTATAGAGTTTAGCAGGGCCAGGTCAGTTGGTCAGTTACTTTGGGCAGGCTCATTTGGGGCAGGTAGGGGAACAGTTGTAGATCCCTAGGGCCTATGGGGTGGGGGGAAAATTTCCATCTCCTTCACCAGGCACTCCTAAAGAGCCATTTAAATATTGCTAAATCTCCTCCCCATATCATAGTGGGGACCAGAGTCCTCAGGTTACCCAGAGAATGAGTGGCTAAGCTGAAATTTGAATGTAGATTTCCAAGAAAATTCCCAGTGCTGTGAGACTTCAATGGGATTCAGGACAGAAACCTAGTGAGCTGAAAGCTGGACTGTGGCAGGGAGGCCCCTTCCCCCAAGCCAGGCCAGGCGGAGCCAGGTATTTCTGTAGCTGAGCTGCAAAAATTGGGTCACTGGCCATTTACCTGATCTCTGCCCTAGAGTCCTAATTGGAATCTGAAGAGGCCACTATGTCCAGGACAGAGAGCAGGAACTGAAGGATGAGTTTTACCTGTTCCCACTGGTATAGGAGGGATTGAGACTGGGATCAGAACCTTACTTTTCTACTTCTGCAGGTGTCTTTGTTGAGTGGACACCAGAGACACCAGTGTTTCAATGCCCCTCCCTAGTTCAGGACAACTGATTTCTGACCTCCTTCAGGAACATTTCTTTTTTTTTTTTTGGCAGAGGGTGGGGTGGGGTGGAGGATATCAGAGATATCAGAGATTGAACTCAGGGGCACTCAATCACTGAGCCACATCCCCAGCCCTATTTTGTATTTTATTTAGAGACAGGGTCTCACTGAGTTGCTTAACACCTAGTTGTTGCTGAGGCTGGCTTTGAACTCACAATCCTCCTGCCTCAGCCTCCTGAGCCGCTGGGATTACAGGCATGCACCACTGGGCCTGGCCAGAAACATCTCTTTAGGAACATCTCCTTAGTCTCCTCTGCATCTCTCCAGGTCACTTTCTGGAGGGAAAGGAGAATGACTTAGATGAGGCCTACCCAGCACTCTTCCTCCCAGATCCCAGAGGTGTGTTTTCTGGGATAACATCTGGGGATGATGGCTTTGACCTTTAGTGCCTTACTTAGTCTTCCTAACTGGGGTTATTCAAGTTTACAAAACACTTAAAAAAAAAAAAAAAAAAAAAAAACAGAGTATGCTAGAGGAGCTTCCTGAAAGACCAGACAGGGGAGTTGCAAGACCAGATGGTTTCAGAAGACTGCCTGAAATGGGGGTGTGGGGGAAGGCAGAAACCAAGTTTTTGTGCTAGCCCCTCCTACGCCTAAAACTCAGGGGTCCCTGAGTTTTAGGGGTTGTTACCCTAATACAGACAAAAGATAGTTATTATATTATGTGCAGCAAAGAGTAGAGTCTGAAAAGATGGAGGGTTTTTTTGTTGGTTTGTTTGTTTTGTTTTTAAGAAACTTGATGGAGAAAGGAAAGATCAAGGAGGAATTATCTAGAAGGGCCTCAAGGTTCTTGGACAATACTTAACTCACGAGTGCCATAGAAGGCAAAGGAAATATAAAAACGTATTCCCTCAACCTTGCATTCTCCTCTAGATAATCCCTTCTTTCTTTCTTCTTATTAATTTCTTCTTGGAATTGAACCAAGGGGTATTTTACCACTGAATCACATCCCCAGTCTTTTTTTTTTTTTTGATTCAGGGTCTCTAAGTTGCTGAAGGACCCTGAATTATGCCTTGACCTCCAAAGTAACTGGGATTATAGGCCTGTGCCTCTAATCCTGGGTTTATCATTCTTTTCTCTACCCAGTTTCTTTTTTTTTTTTTTTAAAGAGAGAGAGAGAGAGAGATAATTTTTTAATATTTATTTTTTAGTTTTCGGCGGACACAACATCTTTGTTTGTATGTGGTGCTGAGGATCGAACCCGGGCCACATGCATACCAGGCGAGCACGCTACCGCTTGAGCCACATCCCCAGCCCCACTCTCTACCCAGTTTCTAAAAAATAGTCTTTTTTTCTCATCCTCTACTATCAGCTGCACAAAAATTATAGGATGTCTTTTGCCCTGTATTAGTCAGTAACCTTGGTTGCTATAACCCTCACCTCAGTGGCAAACAACCACAAGCTCAGTGGCTTGGTATTATAATCCATGGTGTATATTTGGGATGGGGGTAAGTTTTGCTCTATGCAGCATTCAGGGACCTAGGCTCCACCGTCCTAGTGGCTCTACCATTCCTTAAGGCTTCAGAATTCTCTACTATGTCCTCTGTGATTATGGTAACATGAGGATCAAAAGACAACATAGGTGGGTATGGTGGTGCACATCTGTAATCCCAGCTACTTGGAAGGCTGAGGCAGGATGATCATGAGTTCAAGGCCTGCATAAGCAATTCAGCAAGATCCTATCTCAAAATAAAAAATACAAAAGGGCTTGGGTGTTGGGGATGTGGCTCATGGGCTAGGGATGTGGGTGAGTAGTAAAGTACCTTGCCTGGCATTCATAAGGTCCTGGGTTTGATTGCCAACGCCACCAAAAAAATGTGTGTGTGCGCGCGCACACGTGCGCGCGCCTGTAACTGGGGATGTAGCTCAGTAGTACAGCACTTGTCTATCATGTGCAAGGCCTTGGGTGTTCAATCCCCAGTACTGTTAGGGAAAAAGGGAGATAGAGAGAGAAAGAATGTAAAGAATTTCACAAGACATTTTAAGAGCCAGATCTGGAAGTGGCATTTAATTTCTGCCTATATTTCATTGCCTAGAATACAATCACTTGGCTTCATCTAAATACAGAGTAGAATGGAATATAATCTGGTTGCTCAAGAGCAAAAGGAGGGCTGGTGATGTGGCTCAGGTAGTAGTGCGTTCACCTGGCATGCATGTGGCCCGGGTTCGATCTTCAGTACCACATATAAACAAAGATGTTGTGTCCGCCAAAAACTAAAAAATAAATATTAAAAAAAAAAGAGCAAAAGGAAATGGGTTCATGAATGTAGTTTTGGAGACAACACTCATTTCTCTGCCACATGCCCCTACTGAGAAATCTAATGATTATTTCCCATTGTCTTACTGAACCTCTCAATTATATTTATGCTGGCCCTTCATTCTATCACTCCCATGTGTGAGACTATTCTCTTCTACTTCCTTTATGTTTTATTCATATAACACATATAAAGACCACCATGTGTCATACACTAATTGCTTTAAAAATATTTACTCAATCTTTATTACCATAAAGGTATGTGCTTTTATTTGTTCCATTTTACAGATAAGAAAACTGAGTCAGAGAGTTTAAGCAATTTGTCGAAGATCACACTATTAGGTGGTTATGAGCCAGGCTTTGAACTTGGCGGTCCAGCTTCAGAATTTATATATTAATCACAGCACTATGCTGCCTCTTTTTTCTCTTTTGCTTCTCTTCGTTTTTGTTCTCTTCTTCCTCTGCCTATCCCTTAGGGTTGGTGTTCTCTAGAACACTGTCCTTCACCTTATCTTTTCAATTCTCCCTCCTTTTGAGATTTTATCCATGTTTTAGGGTTTTTTTAATTGGTGCATTGTAGTTGTATATACTGGTGGGATTTGTTGTTACATATTTSTWCATGCACACAATAGACAATATAACAATAAGTTTTGGCCAATATCATTCCGGAGCACTTTCCCCCTCCTTCCCCATATTTTACCATCTTTTCTGTAGGATTCCCAGTGAGATTTCTAAACTGGAATGAGATCATGCTTGCACTGTTTGGAGCCATATC